AATGAAGACACTGACAACATGTTTTTGGTTGGTTCAAGACAAATAAACAATATCCCTAAGGATGATGTTTGACTTATGCTGAATTTCCTACAATGTTCGTTTATGATAAAAAGAACAAAGAGTGGTGCCAAGACAAAGAGGTAACTCTATTGGAAGGCTTACTTATATTCCCCCTAGATGTGGTAATGTTTTTTATTTAAGGCTATTGTTAACTTTACAAAATGGTTGCACATGTTACAATGATATTAAAACCGTTTCTGGCACAATTCACAAAACCTACAAGGAAGCATGTGTCGCATTGGGATTGTTACGAAACGACAAAAAATTTGTGTATGCTATTACAGAAGCCAGCAAGGTGGCCCCCGATAATAAATTGAGGAAATTGTTTACTATGTTATTGTATATGGATTAAATGACAAATCCTTATGTCGTTTGGGACGCTACGTGGAAACTCCAGTGCGATGGAATTGTGTATGATGCAAGGAAGCGACTGAAAAACCCAGGTAGTAATATATGCGTTTGATCAATATTTTATTCTGTCTGTGAATTATGTTGAAATACATGAATGATTTTTCAGTGCTTCAGATTGATGATGATGAATTGAAGAATCTGTTTGATTGAGATTGAAAAGTTGCTTTCCTCAAACGATAAATATCTTGAGGACTTTGAGTCCATGCCACAACCCTCACATTCCAAAATGGATTAATTTAGAATAGTTTAATGGATGCTGAATTAAACTACGATAAGGAAAATTTGGTTGCAATTCACATGACATTGATGTCAACCCTGACCACTGAACAAAAGTCGATTTACGAAGAAATTATGAACCCCGTTACAATATAATCTGGAGGGTTTTACTTCTTGCATGGATATGGAGGCACATGAAAAACATTCATTTGGAAAACTTTGTGAGCATCGATTAGATCACTAGGATTGATTGTTTTAAATGTTGCTTCAAGTGGGATTACTGCTCTATTGTTACCTGGAGGTAAAACAACTCACTCTATGTTCTATATTTTGTTAGTTACTACTGAAACATCTATGTACAACATAAAGAAACACACCGACAAATGCAATCTCATATTGCATTCTGCACTTATAATATGGGATGAAGCGCCAATGCTGAATCGATTTTGTGTCGAGGCTGTTGATCGCTCTTTGAGGGACTTAATGAGGATTGTAGATGATTAAAATCAATACAAACAATTTAGGGGAAAGGTGGTTGTATTTGGTGGATATTTTAGGAAAATATTACATGTGGTCAGAAAGGGCTGCAGGAACGACATTGTATCGAATTCAATAAACTCATCTGAACTGTGGAGATATTGCAAGGTACTGAGTTTGACAAAGAACATGCGATTATCCGCAAGAAACTCCTCTCAAAACTTAGGTGAAATACAAGAGTTCTCAAACTGGATGCTTGATATTGGAAATGGTAAACAATACTCAGATGAATATGGAGAAAGCACGATTCAAATCCCATACGACTTATTAGTTCCACAATCAAATAATCCTCTCTTATCTCTGGTTGAAGTAACATATCCACTCATTTTACAGAACATGAACAATCTGAAATACTACGAAGAAAGGGAGTTACTTTCTCCTACTCACGATGCGGTAGATGTCATTAATGATTTTGTTTTGTCATTGATTCCAAGTACTGAAAGAGAATATATCAGTTCCGACACAACTGTTATTTCTGATGAAAATTCCTCAGTCCAGGCACATTGATTCACACCACAATTTCTAAATGACATGAAATGTTCGAGTATGCTTAATTACCGATTAAAGTTAAAGATTGGTGTTTCAGTCATGCTGCTCAGGAACATAGACTAGTCTAATAGGCTATGCAATGGCACAAGGTTGCTGATAAATGAGCTTTGTCAAAACATTATTGGTGCCACTGTCATCATAGGAAAAAACATTGGTGACAAAATTTACATACCAAGGATGAATCTAATTCCTTCTGATCCGAGTTTTCCATTTAAGTTTCAGAGGCGACAATTCCAATTGCCATGTGTTTTGCAATGACCATAAATAAGAGCCAAGGCCAATCACTGTCGCAAGTCGGTTTGTATTTACAACGCCTGATATTTACACATGGTCAATTCTACATTGTTGTTTCAAGGGTTAAGTCTCAAAAGGGATTGAAGATTCTTATACTAGATGGTGAAGGAAACCCGTGTAGGAAAACTATAAACTTTGTGTACAACAGGGTTTTCGACAATTTGTAACACTGCGGAAAGTGGAAAATGTTTTTTTTCCAATCTGATAAGATGTTTCACTATGACTATGTAATAGAATTGAAACTTTGTATTATATGCGAAATTGTTTTTTGACAATTAACATTTCGATACAATACGAATGTCACTGTTTCGTTGTTATACAATGTTTTCATATATAAAGTGTTTCGTGGCTATACAATATTGTTATATGACATACTTCATGGACATAAATTAGGTACCAAAAGTTATGTATATTGGATTAATCAATGCGTTTTCAATCTTATAAAACAATTATATGGCATGATTGTGTTTTATAAAAATCTTCATATTTAATTTGTTTTCCCCTCAAGTCTCATATTGAAAAGTTTGTTACAAACATTAATTGTTCATCACTATTTTTATGAATTTGATGACCAATTGAAAACAAATCTGAATTAAAACTCTCTTTAAAATCACTCTGCATATAATAGTGATGAACTTTACATTAACCAAAATAATAAAACCATTCATTAAATTACAAGTTTGATAGGATCTTCCTAAAACCCCATCTGCTAATAACCATCACAGCAACAACCAACCATCACTGCCATTACAACCATGATAACAATGAAACTGCTATTTTATGTAGTTTTGGCAATCAGTTCTGCCATAACAATGAGTTATGTAATAATAAAAATACAATGATTCATAATTGGAAACTAAAACTTGTGTTATTACTACATCATAACCATATCATACAAATGTCTCAGCAATAACACCGACTTTCTATACCATTTACGGCATATTGTGCAACTACTAATCATTTATAATATTTAAATTACCTGTCATATATGGAAACAAGGCCATTGATACCAAAATTAAAACACAACCATTACATTTGTTTGTTCAAAGTTTCATACACTATTTTAAAACCCAAACCACCAAAATGCAACACATATTACACCTTCTTATCTTAAACATTATTCCACCTGGATCAATCCTTAACATCTGACACCGACAAACAACTTGCAGGAGGACACTCAATGGAAAATTTCAACAAATCTCCTTTGCCCAATCGCCACGCTTCTGCAAATTTGTACCAACCTCTGCAGATGTATGTTTCAATCTTTGTCAGAATCTTTACGATTCTTCAATTTGCACTAGTATTTCTCGCCATTATCAGTGTCGTAGATTATAATTGAACTCTGTGGCTTTGTAAAACACTCCTTTATAACTGCTGCTGGAATTTGCTGTCCAATGACATTAACAAAAATTAGCAGCTTACCAAATCATTTTACATACGTAATTTATATCTATACAATATGTAAACTACAACTTACAAAAATATTTTTCCTGATTTTTCTTACATCATTGACCAGTCTGGTCCATTTCTGCATATTTCAGGGATGAGAGTCACCAACTTTGGAAGTTACTACAGACCTCTTCGACTCACTACATTTTCATAACATGCAACATAAGAATTTTTCTTTAATAGTGATATGTTTCAATGATTCTATTTCTTTTAAACACAAAATATTAATTACAACATAAACACTAAATACTACTTCAACTATGCATTTAGTACACCTTACTAATATAAACTAAAACAATTTACCTTTCACTTTCTGATGATATTGAAATGTGAGACTGAACAGGGCTTGCAATCTCTTTCCCTTTATCTGTCTCAGAATTAGCACTTTGAATGCACTCCTTGGCAGGTGCTTTCAGTTCAACATTATGTTTACCACCTTCATCGGCTGATGCCGATACACTCCATTTGATTGGGTCGATAACATCACATTTGGTGTCCTGCTTAGCAACTTCTTTCAGATCAAATTCATATTTTCCTCCAACATCACAAGCTCTCAGCACCTCTACACAAAATTCTTCGTAGCTAAACGTTTTCCTGATCTTTTTTGTATGGAGCAATCGTTGTTCCTCATGATCTAGATAACAGAGGTACATCTGTTGACACTCATTTTCGTCAAAATGTCGAAGCTTGAGATTTTCAGCACTGCAACATATAACAACATGCAACAAACTTTGTTTATACACCGTGCATGTCGCTAACATCATGTTTTCATTATCTCTACCTCTACGATTAACCAACACGATTAACGATTCTACAAAAATCCTTATCAAACTGTAACGGTTTTAAAGATTTCAGAGACAGAACAACATTTTTTCACGATTACGAAGATTTACCCGATTACACGCACACCTTTCTCCCCTGAGCTCATTGTCACCAAAATTGCAGAGGATCGTCTTCGCAAGAAACGATTCCGTCTGGAGACAGACGATGCTTTTGGTTTTCCTTACTTCTATGCTACTTTACTCACTCTTCGATACAAATGTCATAATCTCTTCAAATTCCATTTTATTGTCCATAATATGTCATATCATTTGAGGTGTTTACAAGTGTAATAATATTTTCATTTTACATGTGTTAAAATTACTTGCTCAATAAATATTTATTTTATTCTCTTTATATATTTTGTGTTTTTTTAAACATTTAATAGCATGACTCTATTATATTATTTGAATTTTAATTTTTAATTATGGAATGATTTCATAAATAAGAAATTTGTTATATTATTTAGATATTTTTTAATGTTTTGTTTAATCTATAAAATAATAACTCTCTATTATAACTCTACAACAATCCTCATTTTGTCGTTCAAACTTGTCCGATTCCGGTCAAAGCCGCAGTGTCTTCAAACTGTTCTTACTACACCCACCACTTCATTTCCCTCCCAATCAACACAAAAGTTGAATCAACACTAGAAACATACAACAATGTTGTACCCATTGTTCCTCGTCGTGGTTCTGTTTTCTTCTTCCACGCACTCTCTCAACCAAGAAGGTCTTTTCCTCCTTCAAGCTAAACTTCAACTTTCTGACCCTTCAGATTCCCTCTCCACCTGGAACCACCGCGACCCCACTCCCTGCAACTGGACCGGCATCCTCTGCAACAACCTCACCTCCTCCGTCACCTCCATCAACCTCCCTAACTCCAACCTCTCCGGTCCCTTCCCCACTTCCCTCTGCCGTCTCTCTTCTCTCTCCTCCCTCTCTCTCCCCAACAACAACCTCAACTCATCCCTCCCCTCCACCATCTCTACCTGCACCACTCTCCGCCATCTCAACCTCTCCCAAAACCTCCTCTCCGGTCAACTCCCTTCCACTCTCTCCAACCTCCCCTTCCTCCAAATCCTCGATCTCTCCTTCAACAACTTCTCCGGCAACATCCCTCTAACCTTCGCCAACTTCAGCCATTTCCAACAACTCCAAACTCTCTCCCTCGTTAACAACCTCTTCACCGGAACAATCCCTTCCTCTCTAAGCAACATCTCATCTCTCAAACAACTTCACCTCGCTTACAATACCTTCCTCTCTGAATCTCCAATCCCAACCGAATTCGGAAAACTCATCAACCTTGAAACTCTATGGCTCTCCGGTTGCAACCTTGTCGGTCCCATTCCCGTTTCTCTTCGTAAACTCGTTAATCTCAAGAACCTCGACTTATCGCAGAACATGCTCAACGGAACTATACCGGAATCTGTGATATCCGGTTTAACCAGCATTGTTCAAATCGAGCTTTACCAGAACTCTTTCTCCGGCGAGTTACCGCATATTGGTGTATCAAACTTGACTCGGTTGGAGCGTTTGGATGCTTCGGATAACGACTTGACCGGGACGATTCCGGCCGAGTTGTGTCGTTTGAAGAATCTCGGGTCTCTTAATTTGTACAATAATCGACTCGAGGGTTCTCTGCCGGAGAGTTTAGCTTCATCGGAGAGTTTATACGTGCTTCTTTTGTTCAACAACTCACTCTCCGGGAATTTACCAACTGGTTTAGGGAGCAAGTCGAGGTTACAGATGCTTGATGTTTCGTTTAATCGATTCACCGGCGAGATTCCGGGGAATCTTTGCCGTCAAGGAACGTTGCAGGAGTTGTTGATGATTCACAATTCGTTTTCCGGGGAAATTCCGGAGAGTCTTGGAAACTGTTTGAGCTTAACTAGGGTTAGGCTTGGGAACAATAATCTCTCTGGTGTTGTTCCTTCTGGTCTTTGGGGTTTGCCCCATGTGTATCTACTTGAGCTCGTTGAGAATTCTCTTTCTGGGTCAATTTCTAATGCAATTTCAAGAGCAAGTAATCTTTCAGTTTTGTTGATTTCAGGGAATAGGTTTAACGGGTCGATTCCCGATTCAATCGGGTCGTTGAATAATCTTGGAGTGTTTGTTGCTAGCAGGAATAGTCTTACCGGTCGGATTCCGAGCAGTATGGTTAAGTTAAACCAGTTGGGCAGGCTTGTTCTTAGAGATAATCAATTTTCTGGTGAGATACCTCATGGGGTTGGTGATTGGAAGAAGCTCAATGAGCTTGATTTGGCAAATAATAGGTTTGTTGGTAATATTCCAAGTGAATTAGGAACCTTGCCGGGGCTTAATTTTCTTGATCTTTCGGGTAATTTACTTTCTGGTGAAATTCCAATGGAGCTGCAAAATTTGAAGCTTAATTTTTTTAATCTGTCTAATAACCAGTTATCAGGGAAAATTCCGCCTCTTTATGCTAATGCGAATTTTAAGGATAGTTTTGTAGGAAATACTGGCCTATGCCGCGATATCTCTGAATTGTGTCCGAATTTTGGTGAGAAGAGTAAGAATAAGAACTTTGTATGGGTTTTCAGGTTAATATTTGTACTTGCTGGTGTTGTGTTAATTGTCGGGGTGGCGTGGTTTTACTTCAAATTCCGGAATTTCAAGAAGACGAAGAAAGGATTTCATTTGTCGAAATGGAGGTCATTTCATAAAATAGGGTTTAGTAAGTTCGAGATAGTTAAATTGATGAGTGAAGATAACGTGATAGGGAGTGGATCGTCTGGGAAGGTTTACAAAGTGGTGTTGAGTAACGGAGAGACAGTTGCGGTGAAGAAATTGTGGGGAGCAAAGAAGACAGAAAATGGAAATGCCGGTGATCCTGAAAAGGATGGATTTGAAGTTGAAGTTGAAACATTGGGAAATATTAGGCACAAGAATATCGTAAGGTTATGGTGTTGTTATAACAATGGTGATAGTAAGCTTCTTGTTTACGAGTACATGCCAAATGGAAGCATTGCTGATTTTTTGCATAGTAGCAAGAAAAGGTTCTTGGATTGGTCAACTAGACTTAAAATCGCTATCGATGCGGCCGAAGGACTCTCTTACTTGCATCATGATTGTGTTGTTCCTATTGTTCATAGAGATGTAAAATCTAGTAACATTTTGCTTGATGAAGAATTTGGTGCAAAAATTGCTGATTTTGGAGTTGCGAAATTTGTTAGAGGTGTCAGCAATGGGAAAGAAGAACCCATGTCTATGATTGCAGGATCTTATGGTTACATTGCACCAGGTAGTAATACTAATAATGCATTAATCATTGATGTCTCTATCTTTAGAATCTTGTTCTCAACACGCATCAATTTTCTATGCAAATTAATCATGTTATAAACTAATCGCGCTTTCGTTTTTATGATGCAGAATATGCTTATACTCTAAGGGTGAATGAAAAGAGTGACATTTATAGTTTCGGTGTAGTGATTTTGGAGTTGGTAACTGGAAAACAACCTATTGATCAAGAGTATGGAGAAAAAGATTTGGTAAAATGGGTTTCTTCGAAATTGAACGAGGAAGAACTGGATCAAGTGATTGATCCAACTCTTGATTATTCAAAATACAAGGAAGAAATAAACAAAGTACTCAAGCTGGGAATTCTTTGCACAAGCTCTCTTCCTATAAACCGTCCTTCAATGAGAAGTGTGGTGAGAATGCTGCAGGAAGTAACATCAGTTGCCAAATCCAGAAGTGGAAGATTCTCTCCTTACTATCAAGAAGTAGTCTCTGATAATGATCATTAGGAATCATAAAATTGATCTAGTTGTCATCATTAAACTATATAATATTTACAATGCATTCTTAAACTATATAATATCAGGAAAAATTGTTAATATATCCACCAATGTTTTAGACACCATGCTTCAGCCCATATCTACTTGTCTGCTTTGGTTAGATAATGAGATACTTTTTGGAGGGCTTGTTGTTACTTGTTATCACTATTGAGATTCGTATATATAAAATTAATTTCAACTTTGGCAACTTTTCCTAATTGAAATACTTCACACTTAAGATAATTAAAGCTATAGCCAAAATGGATAAGATACAATGATACATAAGAATAAGTGTTTTATAAATTTTTTGTTGAGTTAGTTAATTTAAGAAGGTCGGAGATGAAGAATAGTCAAAGGAAGCATGAGAGAATTTAGTTGAGGCATATGCATAAGCAGAGAAAATGGGAAAGGAAAGGTTAAAAACTCACAAGAGACAACATGAGTATTTCAAATAGAAGAAAAAGAATGTATGGGTGAATTATTCGCGAGAGTTGTGATACCAGTGAATCAAATGAAGTCATGTGAAGAAATTGGATACAATTACTATGTGGTTAAAAAGATATTGATTCCATTCATGTAATAGAGACTATTGAAAAATCAAAAGATCTTCCAAACATGATCAAAGAATAATGGAAAAGATCACTTGAAGCTTGTGATCAAAGAGTAAATGAAAGAGGATATGACGAACCCAAGACATACGTAGCACTGCAAGCAAGTACAACCAAATAAAAAAGATAAGAAATGTAAAGTAAAGTGGTATGGAAATAAAGGAATATGAAGTTATCACAACTCACAACTCAACTACAGAAAAATCTTAGTAATATAAAAAATCCTTAAAATCAAAGGAGTGGAAGATATCCCAATGGCTTAAGTGGATACTATAGAAGTGGTAACAACAATAAGAAAAAAGGGAAAAAATTTTTTTTTTTGACAAAAGTAACCTCTAATGTTACAATTGTCAAAAGTATAAATTTTTTGCATATGAGTGTTATACCAACAAAAAAATCACATGAAAATGAATCTAAATTATCTAAACAAGATGATGACGCACTACAAAAAAAATTATAATTAATTGTGTGATTTTCACGTCACAAACAGTAATTAACGACATGATCATTCACGCGGCAGGATCACTGGTGACAACTTTGTTGTCATGTGAAGAAGTGGAGTGTGGTAATTGTTGAGAGAAAATTCACAATTCAAGGGAATAATCCAACAACACAAACTCTCCCAAATATCAAATACAACTTAGAGACAATCAACAAAACACATCAAACAACAAAACATAATTTTAGCGTGGAAAAACATCCGTTAACTAGGAGTAAAAAATCACTGGACTCGTAGACCACTTAATATCTCCATTATAATCAATAATGGGTACAATCAAGGTTCTCTCTAACACTAGTTAGAGGCATACATAAATATCATCAAGATCTACAATCAATATTGGAATACAACAAAAATAAAGAGAGACAACAAACTCAGAAACATCAAGAAATTTACACCTCACAAATAGACTCGACAAATTGAATTAGAAAGATCAGAATCCGATCTGCACCGTTCAAAATATACTCCAATGAGTGATAAACACTGCCAAAATTTCAGGACGATCCTAATGTTGGATTGTGCGCAAGCTCCAATTTCGTGGGACTGATATGTGCTAAAATGGGACTGCAGGATTTTCACTCTTCTCTCTACTTTTCTTTTGTTCTTTCTCATACAATGAATGAATATCATATCTCTCTTTATTGGATAATAACAAAGACTTACACACACATGAGCTACTAATTCATATTCATTTGGTCCACTCCAAATAGGAGAGATAGCCCAACAAACTCCCCCAACTGACTAGTTGGAGGGCAGTATCAATTCGACTTCCATGTGACAAAACTCAAATTTTTCCCTAGATAACACTTTCGTCAATGTATCTGAACAATTGTCATCAATATGAATCTTCTCAAGCTCCATCAACTTGGAATCTCATGCATCACAAATCAAATGATAACGTACATCAATATGCTTCGACCTCGAGTGAAAGGAGGAATTCTTCGATAAGTGAATGACACTTTGATTATCATAAAACAACACAACTTTTCTTGTTTCACACCAAACTCCATTTCAAATTTCCTCAACCATAACAACTCTTTTGACGTTTCCACAACGACTATAAACTCGGCTTCGATAATAGAGAGTGCAACACACTTTTACAATTTTGATTGCCAAGTCACGGCTCCCCCAACAAAAGTCACCATATACCCCGAAGTAGATTTTCGATCATCTAAGCTTTCGGCTAGATCCGAATCCATATACCCAACTAACATAGGCTTCTTGTGTAACGCCCGTTTAGTTAATTAATTATTTAATAAATTATTTTTGGATTCTTTGTTGAAAAGTTGTGAAATATTGAGAATTGTTGGTATAAATTGTTAGATTATTATTAAATAATTAGTTGATTAATAATAGTAATAATGTTGGAATTAATGAGATAATGGTGTTGGGCTTATGTTATTGGTTGGAAGTAGTAATAGGTGAGATGTGTAAATTGTGCTCAATAGAAATAACATAATTATTATGTTTAGTTATAATAATCGAAATTAGGTTAATTAAAAAGGGTTAAGAAAAAGAGTAGAAGAAGTGATGTACGTGAGAAGTTACAGAGAAGAGGAAAAGAGGCAAAATTGGGTTCGATCAAAAAATCATAGAACAACCTTCAATCCAAGGTAAGGATGGAGTTCTGATTCTATAATAGGAATTATGATGCATGTTACGTAGGAATTGGGTTGTGTAAAATTGTTATTGTGTGTGATTGTTGTATGAACAAATTGTTGTTTGGTATTTATGATAATTGTGCTAATGTTACAGTGATTCGATCGATGACTCGAGTGTTGGAAACTATTATGTATTGATGTGGGTATAATTGTTATGTTGCTGTGAATACATATAGTGTTGGTCTGAGATCATGGGAAGGAAATGATCTATTAATCGCAGAAAAATCTGGATAAAGTTGCAGAACTGGGAGGAATATGGACGGTGTGTCGAGCGACACACGTATGGTGGTGAAGAGTGCCGACCGATACCATTTTTTGTGCTGAGGGGAACGATTATGCCTGTCGAGGGGCATAAACCCATTCACTGTCTCCTTTTAATTGTTTGTGTCAGTCCTGCGTCTCTGTTACTTTAGTATTTTGTTACAAAAAAGTATGTAGCAGGGTTAGAAAAGAAGCAAAGGCTATTTATTAGTAACAGAAATGAACAATTTGTAGATTTGCACAGAAATAGTAGAGATAATTATTAAGTTACAGAGTTAATAACTGGTATGGTTTTAGTTGTAGAGCTAGTAGTAAATAACAGAAATATTAGTAACTAAAATATAGTAGCAGTAGAGATAATTTAGGTAGCAGGAAAATAATAGCGTTATTAATTTAGCAGAAAAATATTAAAAGGCTTATCAGCAGAATAATTTAGTAGGACCTTGTTGATAACAGTATTGATACATATAAGTTGATGTAATGTTGTTATTATTAATTGTTGAAGTTGCAGGTGATTAATTTTGTTGTGTTGCCTCTATAATTGGCAATTGTTAAGTTGTAGGCTTATGCCAAAGTCGTTATATGTTGATGTTGTCGTTGTTGCTGTTAATCATGTTGTCGCATGCATAGCATATCATGTTGGGAGATGATGCTCGTTAAGTTAACCTGGATTGGCAAAATATTAATTTGAAGGCTTATGCCTTGTTGATGCCTCTATTTATTGGCAGATTTTTAAGTTGGGAGTTCTGCTCCACTGGTACCACATACATGTGCATAGTAATAAGTCGCATTCCAAGTTGCATATTTGAGTTGTTGTGTTGATGAATTAATCGTTATATTTTATTGATATGTTGTAGTGATTGCTGTTGTTTATAAGTTGTGAAGCAGTGATTTTGCATGAACTGATTCTAATATAATGTTTATCATACGTTCAATTATATTGTTAGATATCTCACCCCTTCTGTTTGAATGTTACCCCGATGTTGGTAACATGCCGTAATCCAGAGTGAATGCGGTTTACCTTCAGTAGTTCGAGTCGGTGTCATTGCTCTGATACGTAACACTCGGGGGGATGAACGCTTGTTGCTTTGCTATTGATTTTATTTCCCGTTGTTGAATTTTAAATTGATTTACTAAGTACTATGTTGTTTTTAAAGTTGTTTCAGTTGGACAAAGATGTTATGTTCTTTATAGTCGAATATTATGATTTCGCTGCGTAGTTATGAAAGTTGTTGTTTTCAAAAGATTAAATTATGTTGCCATTGGTTCATCCAAGTTTAATGTGTTACGTATTTGTAATGAATGTCGTTGTTTTAAGTTGAAATTGTAGCATCCTGATTTAGTTGTTGAATTTTTTATAACTCTAATTTTATAATAATTGTAGGATAGAATTGGGGTGTTATAAGTTGGTATCAGAGCAAGTTGGTCGGTTCGACCAAGTTGTTGACTCGTAGTTTGTCTAACAATAGAGCATTGTTAACTTGAGTTTTAACCGTTGTTTGTGTTGTAGTGATAAGTTAAGATGGCAGGAAGGAATGATGTTGTACCTGCTGCTGCTTTAGAAGCGATGGCATATGCTATAGAGAATCAACCGAACACTAACGGGAATGCTAGATCTCGTAGTTTGGCAACCTTCCAGAGGGAGAATCCGCCTAACTTCAAGGGTAAGTATGATCCTGATGAAGCGTTGGATTGGTTGAAAGAGATTGAGAGAATCTTCCATGTGATGGACTGTACTCCAGCATAGAAGGTTCGATATGGTACTTATATGCTAGCAGTCGAAGCTGATGACTGGTGGCTAGAGACTTGTCAGAAGTTGGAAGTTGCAGGTGAAAATGTCACTTAGGCGATGTTTCGTAGGGAGTTCCTGAGGAAGTATTTCCCCGAAGATGTTCGTGGTAAGAAGGAAATTGAGTTCCTTGAGCTGAAGCAATGGAGTAT